CTCCTTTCTTCCCTCCCACCTGCCCTCCCTCCCCTCCCTGCCTGCCTCTCTCTCTTCCTCCTTTCCTTCCTTCCTTCTCACCTTTCCTTCCTCCCTCCCGCCCTCCCTCCCACCTTTCTTTCTCCTTCTCCCTCCCTCCACCCTTCCTAACAAGCACTTACAACTTTGCCTGTGCTTACTGTATTGCTGTAACCAAGGAAGCAATATCTTCACTCTCTCTTAATCTCTGTTAACTTGAAAAATAATCCAAATTGGTCTTGTATTGATGGATCTTGATGATGTCGGGGTTTACATGGGAAGTGCCTAAATGCCGTTTTCCCTAGGCTCTGGACTAGGGTAGCTCTTGTCTTCTTCTGTTAATGAGTCATTTCTCCTTTGTCCTGCAGAGTTTATGGTCCAGCAGACTCTCAGAGTGACGTGTTTGGAGAAGTGTGCCCTCTGCTCACATCCCTCTTAGATGGGTGAGTGAGAGTATGTTTAAGGCCAGTGATCGTGGCTAATGATTAAATGCAAGTAGATAATATTCATGTTACAGGATGGGAATATGACATTAGTCTGAGCATTTTACATGACATGGAGCAGCTCAGTCTGTAACCTGTTGTAGACTCAGTTTACATTTGTGAAGTGCAGTTCTGCCCCCAGGAAAGGGAGTAAAATGATGTGAAGACTCCTTGCTAAATGAGTCTACTTCCCTTGGGATTCATACTGTACTTGAGTTGGGGGGTGTGTGGGTACAAGCCTGTGACTGCAGCAGCTGTTCTTTTCTCTTGGATTCTCTTCCATTCCTGAATGCTTATAAGTCCATAAGGAATGTTGACATCACGTTCAGGGACTCTTCCCCTGGGGACCAGCCTTCTGTTCTTGGAAAACTCAACTGCTGATGTCAAAGGCAGCGGTTGTAACTTAGGCGTAACTTTCTCTAGCAATAAGTTGAGCCAGGTTGATGTACTTGAATGAGACACCATGAGCCAAGACCCTCTACTTCTGGTGTTTTGAAGCATCTCTGTTTTGTGGCGATATCTTCCTCAGAGCTCCTGACGCAACTTCCTTGATCTTGCCTGGAAAAGACCTCTGCACAGCCCAACTCACAAGCCAAAACTGATCATGGTACTGTTGATTCACAGCCACAGCATGCTGTGTACCAAAGGCATCTGATCTGATATGTGGGGTCCACTTGGGTACCCCTCCTGCCGCACCGTGCACAGGCACAGCCGGTCCTCCGAGTGTGTGGCAGCTTCTGTTTCAGTGCTTCTCCAGAGGACTGGGATTTCTCTATCCATCTGAAGAAAATTCTGAAAATGATAGAGGAGTCACTTTTTCAAGGGGCAGCTTTTAAGTAAGCAAATTCCAGAAATAAAAACATCATGGTGGCTACAGTGATCTGAGCCAGAGCTGCCTTTCTAGGATGATATGAAACAGATGGCGCTAGTCATTTTCCATCCTGAGTGTCCTTCGTCCAGAAGCTTTCTTTTGCTCTACAGTCCTCATGGTTTGAAAGATCTTTTAGGAATCCATTTATCTGCCCCAGGCAGAGATATTCCCCACCCAGAGAAATGCACACAAACAGATTCAGGGAAGGTGTAAGAGTAAGGCCATAACAGGGTTTTTGTTAGGAAGACCCCGAGATGTAATTCTGGAAGGACAACACTCAGGATGACGAGGGAGAGGCTGGGTCAGTTCTGCCCTGGAGTGTGGTTTCCAAGGTTCTTCTGAGGGAGTCTGGCAGTGACCCTTGGAGACTCGGAGACTGAGGCCTCCCGAGCACTAGTGCTTTCTGCATCACTGTTCTAGGTGTGATTTAGATGTCAGTCCTACAGAACACTTTCTCAAATTTGTGTGACTCGTGGTGGGCATACCAGGTTAAACAGATGAATCTGAGTAAAGGTCGGTCAATTAAACCAGAACTTCTGGGGGTGGTGTGGAGATTGCTTGATCTCTCAGGTGATTCTGATGGAGGTTGGGCCGAGCACCTGCTCTGAACCGTGGACACCACCCCCCCCAGCATCTGGCCAGGATGACCATGCTTACAGCCAAGAAAATCTTAATATTTCATGGCTGAGGGTGTAATATTATATTGTAGGTTTATTTTAAATCTTCTTTCAAATGTTTCCAATCTTCTCATTGATGTATTGGGCTAAATAACACAATGGGAAGGAAATTTAGGAACTCCTTGATAGTCTTGTCTTCTCTGAAATAAGTTGTGACCAAGTGACCCTGAGTTGTAGGACCCCGAGGCAGCAGGTGCCCCCTGCCAGAGAGGACATCAGCATCCCTGGGTTGACTTAGAACACAAGACCCAAGGCCCCTTCAGTAACCAAGCACAGACCACATGCTGCCACCTTAAGTGTAATTCCAGCTAACAAGGCCAGTCATCAGATGTGTATGTAGTAGGGACATATTTTAGAGCATCAGAGAAGACATGCATCTTCCATTGTTTAATGTCCACCATATACAGTAAGCCTGATTTCTGGGGGATGGACCTGCACAGCAGTTCTGACCCTCCATGGAGTTGAAGTGATGGTGTGGGCAAGTGGGTGGGCCTTGCCAAGGTCAGGGTGCCCATGTGACCCATGAACTGGGCAGGGAGCAGTGGTCCCATGGGGATGTCAGAACGCCCAGGAGAGCAAGGGGTCCGTAACACCCTTGCTGTGTACATGAGTGCAATTAATTCAGTCGAACATGGGGCCACAGAACAGCAAATGAAAGACCCCACAGAGGGGATGGGGCAGCAGGGGACACATATGGCCTTTAGCCAAGTTTTGCAGACACATAAGAATGTTTCCCAGCTGGGCTCGGTGGCTCAGCTTGTAATCCCGCGCCTTTGGAAGGCTGAGGTGAGTGGGTTGCCTGAGCCCGCGGGTTCGAGACCCACCTGGGCAGCAAGACCTCATCTCTA